GCCGCATGTCTGCCATGTGGTTTTAAGGGGTGATGGAAACGGTTCGCGAACATTTAGCCTGGCGAAGGAGTTGGTATTTAACATAGCTGCATTTCTCAAACCGATATGCCATGATGTTAAAAAAGTAATAGCGTTACAGTTTGTGAAAATCGTGGAGGTTGTTACCAGTGTTCATTATTTGACGACGGAACCTCTAATTCCCATAATTTACGGTTTTGCTGATTCCCTTGATAAAATGCTGGCAGATGTATGGGATTTGTATCGGGTAGTCGTCGATGCCTTATTGAAAACTAAAAACCATGAGTTGGACTTGTTGCACTTCCTTCATTTCCTCAGGAAGGTAGTCTACCATGGGTTTCCTGGCTTACCTCCGAGCTCGTCTCATGTACAAGATCTCACACAAGTTTGCTTGGATAGGATCCGGTACAATGACTCCACCAATAGCGAGGCGATTCGTGGAGCTTATGAGCTTCTAGAGTTGATAGTGTTGACACTCGGCGACAAAATGGCTTCATTACCTCAACTTCTTGATAGTTTGTTCCTGGTATCGCGGGTACACATTGCCGACGATTCCAATAGTGGGCCCAACGTTAATGCATTTTTTTATGGTCTTGACCTTTGTACATTGTTGATTGTAGCGAATCTTCTTTCCATCAAATGTACAATATGTCAAAACAAACATTTTAATTCAAGTTACCAATGATTTGCATTAATTGTTTTCTACTGGGTGATAGTTTGTTCAACCAAATGGGGTGAGCACGCCGTTGTCGCTGTAGTGAAATCACGCGATACACTTCACATTGGTTGTTTGGGACGGCGTGGTTTTCTCCCTGTAATTTGAGCACTACAAACAACATCGGCTTATTGCTTGACCAAACCTTGCTACTATATCACCTGCTAAAAAGTGTGAGTTCAAAACTGTTTTGACGTTAACAAACATTGCTGGTCCATCTCAAAAGTGGTGGTAAACGCGCATATCAACAAGGCCCATTGTATCGATTGTCGACGGTTTGTGCCTTCACGCCAATAATTTCGCGTGATGCCGTCATCTGCATTCGTAGCACGTTAAGGTAATCCAGTACCCTAAAATTCACAATAAAGCGACCGATAGCGAGTGAGAAAGCATCATTGGTTTAAAAGGTCAAATTGTTTCAGAAAAACGGTCTCAACAACATCGAGAGCTCGCCACCTCTGGAGACGCAAGACCCCTCCAGCTCGAGTGGGTTCGCGGCATACAATCCTGGCAGCGTTCGGAAACACGGAGGCCAGTGGTTTTGTGAAGGGAAGCTGGTCAACCCCTGGAAAATTGCGGAGAGTGACGGGCGAACCTAAGCCGTCTCCATTTTGGTGTTTTGTGTACAATCTCTCTTTCATTCTCTCAATTTCCTCAAATTGGTGGGGCCGGCTGGTCCCGGCTGGCCATCGTAGGGCAAGTCCCGAGTTTCTGCGCAATTCGTATGTCCGAGTAAGCCGGTGCTTGTGCCAACTCCATGGGAGTGTTGTAATTTACTGAAAACTTTACTATTTCGTCAGGAAACCTGAATAAAGGTCAACTTTCTGTCTATCAGACACACCAGAGCGTTCGAGTCCTCACAGTAACAATATGGCCGCGACCTTAAACTCGAATTGCCGCCAGCACCAAAAGCGTCAGCCATGTATAGACCGCTGTTTGGCACTCTTTGGCACCTCGAGGGGCCCCATTGACACCTCCGGACTCATCGTTGTCACTTGTGAGTGAACCGCTAGAGGATCACTTGCTTGGCTTCTAAACAGATAGCCGACGTTGGTGGCCGTTGAAATTGCCTAACCCCGGGCGATCTTTAACTGATCTTGACAAACCGGGCGTGTACCGTCACACCGTGATTGATTGGGGCACAGGCATGATGGCGATGTTGGGCTATCACTACATAGCTTTTTATTATGAAGTGGCGGTGCCAGAGGAGTGCGGGTTGTCGCTCCGTGCTTGGCTTAGAACCGACAAGTCACTACCAATCATAACAAATCAGTAGTGCAACTTCTGAATAGAAAACTTCATCGACCCCCAATGCCGTTATCGGTGGGATTTTTCGGTTACGATAAGCGAGCATCGGTATAGCCCTTCGCATAGGGCACTATCCCCTTCAAAACCCTGCTTCGGTCACGAAGACACGCGAGTAGTGACCGAGATAGTCGTGCGAGGCAACAACAGCACGCAGCCACCTTTATTAGTGGCGTTCGTTTGGTGGACCCGCTCCTGGCATCGCCGAAATCACTAGCCGTTGTTGTCTTCGCGACGGCGACCCTTTTTTCACCAGCATTCAATATGTAAACACCGCGCATTAACCATGTCACTACTGAGACATTTTCTGGCGAAATGACTAGCCTCCTCGCCAGATTGAAGTCTTCTGCGGTGATTTACGCACCGGCAGCGAGTCCAGCTATTAGCCGAGAGACTAGTGCCTTTTTTTCTTGCTGAAAGAGGGCCTGGAACATACCTTCCGACAACGCCGCCGCCACGACCGCGGGAAATTGCTTTATACGAGCGATTGCATCCCATCTGTGTCACCATTGGTGACCACCGCAGCAATTTCAGTGTGCAACGAAGAGGACTATACGCTAACACCGCCCGATTCAAGTTGAGTAGCAGTGCTCTGCCGAGTCACCTGTGGAACCACGCAAAGCAACAGTTATTGTCTTATTATGGGCATTACTAGCAGCAGAGGCAAGCAAAGAGGACCTGATCGGGGGGTGTGCAATCGATTCCACAATTTCGATCAACTCGAACACGCATCTGTACCAACCAGGAAGAAACAGCCACAAGAAAAGCTCTTTGTCGAATTAGCCACTCCCGCTGAGATTCCCGACCACTACCACTACTGGATGCTCCACTTGTTCAAGCAGAGGGCGCAGAGCAGCGGGGTACGCCTTGTACACGCAGGTGCCAATGTTCAAGAAGACTGATCACGGCAGGTGAGGCGTAAGACGAGTTGACTCGGTTCTGACGGGCAATTCGAAAACCTGGCACCTATTGTGGCCACCAGCCACACCATTGGTTGAGTTACCATCAGTAAGGCCTCCACGGCGGTGCCTTATTGAAGAACTTTCAGAGATCGTCAGGCAATGCTGGCCAATCATCCCAGTGCCTGCCTGGAGCACGCGGGACATATGCCAGGCAGTGGTGGCGTGCAGGCAAAGGGTTGTGTTATTGGATCTGGTGCCGATGGAATCGGAAGTCGTGCCGACTCTCCCCTTTGAGTGGAACAAATTGGCGGAATGCCACCAGATTTTGGTACTCCGGTAACATTATGGGAGCGGTGGGGGTGGTTGCGGTCCAAGATCTTCAGGAGTGGCCAACATAATGACGCTTGTCCATCGTCACTCCATGGGCGCGGCGGAAACGACACACTATGGAGCAGCGGCAGGTAAGGTGCTGTCGTCACTAGTGTTCCATGCCGAGGGTCAGTAAATCACATTTGCAGTGGAGTCGAGTCGCCGTCCTGTTGCAGGTTAGACCCGCTATGGTGTGTGTGCGAGACACTGGTAACACACGTTGCTTAAGGAAGAAGCGCGTCTTTGTAACAATTGACTGCCCAGTGACGCACGGAGAATGGATTTGATGTTGAAAAACCGGTAAAGCGGCGAGATTGAAAACTTTACGTGGATGCAAAGAGCGAAATATGGGTGCTTCGACTATCAGCTAGTCCAATCGTGTGGTATAGCTGGCGACCTGCGCCTAGTCAGGTCGATGGTGTTAACCTGAATAGAATCTAATGGTGATTTTTTTTGGAGCTGATTACCTGCATAGTTGTCCGCTTCCTGAGGGTGGCCGTCTTTATTCGTTCGCGCCCGCTTTTGCCACGCCAACAAAAATGGAAATCTCAGGCACAGACGAGACTGGTATCCTTAAGGAGCTTATACTGGAGGGGGCCCTTTATTTTCGGTTGTTTGAATGCCAAAATGAGGCGCCGATTACCCAGATGAGACTCAAGAATGTGAAGGGGTATGGATCGGGGACTTTGACCATATACCCGGTTATAAGAGTGCCGCAGCCATCTACTTCGCCGACAATCAAAAAGGCTCGGGGGGTTCCCACCAGAAGCATATCATCGACGGTACCGATTCGGACAGTACTGAAGTCGTCCCAGTCGTTCTACAGTATTTTGAGAGCGCTGATGCACAAGGACACAAGAGAAGATTTTCGCGATGATAAGGGTACTGGATCGGTAGAAATCGATGTCAAAGTACCGACTGAGCCCCACCTGACCGTGACTTTTTCGGCTTCCCTCAGTGGCCCTGGCCATGGTGAATGGAAGTATACAATCACGAGAGGTGGGAAAAAGAGAAACGTCGAAGAAAAACTTTTCTTCGACGAAGTGCTGAAATTAAAACTCTTCCGGTGTGTCTTTACCGGCGAAGACTTTGCAAAACTCGGCTCAGCGGATAGCTTTCGAAAGTTTGTTCACCCAACTGAGGACTTGTCGAACAATACCTTGTTGAACAACGCATCAGAAGCTAACCTTGAGGAACTCCGCAAAAAAGCTGTTGAGCAGGCTCGCGCCTTGAAGGCTGCTATGCCTGGAGCTGACTTTCTCGGCGATTGCAGCACCAATTTACGAAAGAAGCGCTCTGAGTGTGATTCTGAACGCGAAGAACAAGACCGTTGTGCAAAATTAGTCCGCCAGGACCTCAAAAATTCAGCTTCTCTGCAACTCGAGAAAGTAAAGGCGAGCAAACGCGAGAACGAGAGACTTCTGGAAATCCTTGACTTAGTGGCGGAGATTTTGAAGAAACAACTTGAGCATTACGAAGAGGACTTGCGCGACATGAAGGAAACTACCAAGAAGCTCACTGACTCTATGAAGAAAGCCATTGGGGAAAACGGGTTGGCGACTGATGACGTCTTCAATATCGACTTATCCAGAGTACAAGAAGCCAGGCGTAAGTTGAATAACTGGAAGCCTCACAATATCGAGTCAAAGTTGTACGCCACTATGGAGGAGTCCGCCCAACTCAACGAGATCATAAAAGCGGACGAAGTCTATCAGAATGAGCTCGAGGTGGTCTCTCATAAATTGGAAGACGACGATCTACTGTACGTCTCGCATGTGGGCGTGCTTTACGCGGCGCAGGCGGTACACAAACTTCCACAGGACAGGGTTGACGACATTAATCAGTGGCAGAAGTTAGCGACGAGATACAATAACCACTTAAGTGAAGCCGCGCGTTTGGAGGCTAAGCTGAAAGGGCTCGTCAAGGGGATGGAGATCTTCGAAGAACTCCACAGTGCTGAACCCACAGGTCACTACGACGGCACGGAGCCCCGAGTACTCATCCAGATGCAGCAGGATTTCAAGAGTGCGTTGGACGCCTTCGTCGACGCGGCAGTGGACAGCTTGGTGAAAATTGCCGAGCAAAAATATAAGGAGGTCATTGAAACTGCGAACTTGACGACGGCGAGATACACTCTCGCGTCAGCTTTTGTCCACTATGCCAAGAATACCGGTTTCGGTGGGGGCTTCATGACATTTGGTGACAAGGGTGAAATTACTCTTGGCGGAATCGAGCTGCCGAACGAGCACGTCCAGGAAAGATTGCTCAACGCGTTCTTGAGGGCTGTTTACAAAGTCACGTACCATTTTAACGCGAACACGCGCTTCATTTGTGGCATCCACAAGGGTAAGAACGAAGTTGTGATGGATGAGCTCATGCGAGGTCTCGCTTTCGATGCTCAAATTCGGCCGGACACGGTTGTGATGATTACTGATGGAGATGCGACTGAGAAGTGAACGGAATTATGTGTAAATGGACTGTGTATGAGTTTATGAATGTATGGTAAGCGAATTGGCAATTTGTAGGCTGCTTTCTTACACCTAATACGTTGCGTTGATACCAGTATCGATATCGTAGACGCTTCGAGAGAGCCGACTACCACTCCCTGTCTCAAGGTATTGCCGGTGCTGTTCAATCCATTGTATCAGATCGGCTTCTGTTCGGGGGGCCTTAAGTGATAGTCGCATCTACTTGAATACTGGCGCACTGGTCGTTACAATTCATTTGCTAATACACATAAGAGCCTTCACTTAAGACCGATCTAGAGAAACAAATGCTTCGATGGGGAACAGGAGCGCTGTGAGGGACGGACCTGCCTGACTTCATTGGTCCATACTTGTAACCCTTATTTATTGGACATCGGTATGAACCCGCTTGTTGTTTTTCATTGTGTTTAGGTGAAACTGTACAACTTATAAAAACGCCTTGAAGATAACTCAAGTGTACCATACTTCGAAAACGTCAATTGACATCCAGTGGTATGAGGGGGCTAAAGCCGTCCTCTACACTCAGAGGTGTAAGGAATGTATTTGGCAAGGCAATTTTTTCCTACAGGGAATCGAACCCTGATCACCCTCGTAGGGACATGTCAGCCATTACAAGTCACAGTCGTGGGCAGATGCCTCTGATCAGGTGACGTACTCCTTGATTAGAACAACCAATAGAGGGTTTGCCCAACAACATTCATCGCAGGCGGTCATTGATGTCCTTGGCCATACATTTGTTATATTCCCCAATCTGCTTTTCCAGAATATGATCACAAGGAGCTGAGATATGAAATAAATACAAACAAACAAACCAAAAAACTTTGATCTAATCGTGTGCAACTGTGGAAAAGTCCAAGACGTCCATCTTAGAGGATACTCAAGCGTTCCACCATCAAATCCAGCCAGACTGAAGTGAGGGAGCAATCATCACTGTCATGATACGTTATAGCAAGAAGTTGGTCAGCCAGCAGGGAGATATGCAAGCCATTTCCACAAAGAATCGAACCTTGATCTCCTCCATAGAAGCGGTATATCCATTACACTATGGTCCCGAGTAAACACCATCAGCTCGACCGATATACTTCTGTTAGCCTCGTGGCGTACTTAGCCAGATACAGCAGAATGGAGGGTGTCTCGAACTTTGTTGGAAAGTTTGTGTTGTCTCTTTCCCGTCGTCATGTGGCTCTGGTTCCACACGAGCACAGCTGTAACCACCTGTCGTCTTCTTTTAGCTGGCAGGCCTTGTCACTTTGCGGAGATGCGTGGAAGAGCGTAGGGCGTGGGAGCACGGGTGTTCGATTCCAGTCATCTGAAAGCTGCCTTCCCTCCAAAATCGGCAGAACTCCACGGGGTGAGGCCGCCTTCGCCGCCTCGACTTCCCAAGAAGGGCCTCCTCCACGACGCCGGGTTTAGCTATGGCTAACTCCGACCATTATGCCGTATGCACCCGCGATTCTTCCATAACAGTGCAATTATGCGACACGCTGAGAAATGCCAACGCTTTCCACCAAACAACCACAACATAGTGAATCTGCCGGCATAGTCGCTCGAGTCAGGGTGCACTATCATGATTGAGAAGCGAGTTCCCACGAACTGGCCACTTCACGTCTCTCTTATCGCGCGCATCCCACATACTTTTAGGCAGCGAGGGGAAGTGTCGAGGGTGCAGGGCGTGACTAAGGGCTCAAATAACGAGTGAGAAAAAAAAACGAAAATTCTTGTTCTCTATTAACACGCTTAACTAGGTGATGGTCTCCTTTTCCAAGGACACCCTGGGTGGTCACAAAATGGTCGAATCCCTCGATTACGGTGTAATCATGTTGTTCCCGAAAAACCCACGCAAGGAAAAGAAGGTTCCCCGAACTTGGGGCAAAAATGTTCAAAACTGGCACAGATTTGCTATTCAAAAAGGGGAATTGGCGAGGATTCCAGACAATCAGGCTCTCTCTGATGGATTGGTGAATGCCATGGTGCGATTTGTCGTCTTCGATTTTGAAAAACATTCCGACAAGAAGGTCTACGTGTTTGACTCATTGATTTACTCAAAGTGGCTCAAATCGAGTAGTTCGGGTCCTGAGAGAACTAAGATGTTTGCGGATATTGACTTCAAGCTGTACGACTACATCATCGGGGTGGTTAACACAGAGAACCACTGGGTCATCTGGGGGACCCGCGAGTTTTCTTCGCTACTACTGAATGACGGAAACGCCAACGTGTTTCTACTCGACCTGCTCAACCGCGAAGATGCCAGCACGACGGAGGAGCTCAAGAAGTTTATAGTGGGTTGCTGCCAGGCTCGGTACTCTGTGAAGGTTGATACGCTGCAAATTAATGTACACAAGCCAGAAGTGGTGCGCCAGAGCGACTTAATTAACTGCGGCTTTTACATCATTATCAACATTAGTCCTTGGTTGTGGGAAACAGTTAAGGTTGAAAAGTGTTGGCTGGACCCCAAAAACTTTCTGTTTGTTAAGGAATTCATCATCGACCATGACGATTTGCGCCACCGGTGGATGACATTCATGGCGGCGATTGGCGACATCTTGAACAACAAACAGCCCGAATCTCCCCCGAGCATCCCGTGGGCTTGCAAAACACCATGGGAGGGGCTCTTCGATGTGTATACGGATAATCGAGGGGACTTCGACTCGTCCCGTATCGTGTTGCGTGCGTCGACTCTGAGTGAAGTGGGTGATAACAGCGAGGATGTGGATGATCATGGTCAAATGCCGAAGCAGGCGACGAGTGGCGGTTTCTTGCTGCGCTCACACACGCTGCCGTCGTCCAATAACCCCACCAAGCGCTGCCAAATTTCGGCGTCTTCCGACAACAATCATCACGAGGTGTTGGCGGACCGCTGATGTGATCCACCAGTTGTTTAGGTAATCACATCCATTTCGGTGTGCCGTCCGGTCAAGTGAGAGGCTAGACTGCACAAGAGCGCGACGAGCTATATGAACGTCGCGCGGTTTATAGAAAAAAACACATCTCTTACTACATCCAATCAACTCGACACTTTAACTAGCTTTCTCTTTACCCCTATTCCTGGAAGCTTGGTTATAGTCGACCGCATTGTGTAGATAAGACAACAATGACTGACTCAGTTAACAGCAACACGTCTCAATTGGAGACAGGTCAGGGACCTAAATCCCAACACGAGGAATACGCGGTTCCGGAAGTAACGATGTCCGATGCCGACAACATCGAGAGCTCGCCACCGCTGGAGACGCAAGACCCCTCCAGCTCGAGTGGGTTCGTGGCATACAATCCTGGCAGCGATCGGAAATACGGAGGCCAGTGGTTTTGTGAAGGGAAGCTGGTCAACCCCTGGAAAATTGCGGAGAGTGACGGGCGAACCTAAGCCGTCTCCATTTTGGTGTTTTGTGTACAACCTCTCTTTCATTCTCTCAATTTCCTCAAATTGGTGGGGCCGGCTGGTCCCGGCTGGCCATCGTCGGGCAAGTCCCGAGTTTCTGCGCAATTCGTATGTCCGAGTAAGTAAGTGAATACTTCAAATGTGATTTACGTAGTGTGAACATTGACCCCAACACTTACCCAGGGCGGTGGTTCAGGAAGGCAGTGCAAACACTTTCAGTTGTATATCTAGAGGTAAGAGGTAGTTCCTAGTGATTGCGAACCGGCACTGTAGTCGGTTGGCTGGCTTGTGTTCATACATAGTCTCTGTAGTAAACAGCCGTCCGGTGTCAGTTAAGAAGCTAAGCACGATCTGTGAAAAAAGCAGAGAAAAAAAAAGGAAGCAACAGCACACTAGCATGAATAAACACCCTGTCTGTAATTGTGTTCTGGTACCCTTTGGCCCCACCCCGTTCGGTTATAACTACAGTCAGTGTGCTTCTTGGCGATGTTATCGACAATGAGGTATTCAAGCAGAGATATTCAGATATCGGCCGATGTGGAATGAAGCCACGTTTAGCTCAAGCACCACCCATCTCCGTTACGATACAAACATATTCAAACAGAACAAAGTTTGGTCTCAAACGGCTCTGGGTGCGCGATTATAATGCGGTGATGCCTGGCAGAGTATGAAAAAGCCTAACCAGCCCAAGTAAGTGAAATTAGCACTCGCTTTATACAGTTTGTGTGTGGAACTGTTGTTTACTGCCAAAGTCGCCGACATTGCGCTTTCCGACCTATACCGTGCTATCAAAAACGTGTAGTCTTATCTGCTCGCGGCTGATGACTATGCAGCGCAGTGAGTCGCCCCCGCTTTCAAGACGACGCCTACCTTCGTACAACTCAACAACCTTGGGTCGTCAGGATATCGGTTTACACAAACAGACCCGTCTTCGATAAGCCGCGAGACGGGGAGCACCGATGCAACACCCACGAAACAATTGGTACATTAACAACTGCAGACTCCACTCACTGCCGCCTTGGGTATCTACTTATACCTGCACACATCTTTCATTCTAGATGCTCTGCAAGCGCGAGTATCATTTCGCATGCGACCCCACTTACTTGCGGCCAGTGGTGACGCCCAGGACAACAGCCCCCATCATCAGATGCTCATATATGGCCCCATAAGTGAGGTGAACGACCAACAATACCTTGTTCTTGTCGTATTTCGGGGTTGCTCGGCGTCTCGCGGCTGCCACATCGTGTTCCTCGACGCAATCTCCATCGGACACCAACCAGGCACTGAACCAGTTGCCGTGCCGTGTCAAGTTGCAATGGCCATCCTGTTGGACCTAAGTCTCATGGGAAGCCATCGCTTGTTCAATCAAGCGTGAGGGACCTCCATCGGCTACTATATCAGCCCCACGCCGGGCGTTCCCTGAAGAACTCGGCCAACTTACTATTGGTAATCGTCCACCCCTGCGCTTTGGACTGAGGCTTGCTGAGGCTGTAGGGTTGTCATCGGAAGTGTCCAACACCAACGTCATACAAAGGGAAAGCAAAGCGTATTAATCTCAGAGAGAACACTAGGAGCTCAGGGCCCTCAAATCAAGTCTGGTGACAGAAACAGACCACGCTGGTTCATTTCTTTTCCCGGTCCAGTCCATTGGCATGGGCACGTCGAGATTCACCACGGGACGAGGTATTCAACCGTAGCAAAGACGCCAGATCCCTAACGATAACTCCCTGGTACTCCAATAAACCAGTCGTTTGTCTCTTCGGGCGCTTGGTGTGGCGTCGTGCGAGGCCGACGGAAGGGACCCCGAGAAACGGCATCAGGGGCGTTCTTGTCCACATGGGGGGTCCTCGCTCGCCTTGGGAGGGGTCAGAGCAAGCTAAAAAGCTGGAGTTCCCTCGTCAAGCCTCATTCTGGCTTTATGTGTATCCGCCAGGCAAAATTTTCGTGTTTGTTTATCTCGCACGATGAGCGCGGCCCGATTTAGCCAGGTCGTCAGTTGAAACAGTTTCAGGTATCATACGATGTCGACAGCGCGTGACTTTGGATGGTACAACAAAGTCACCCATTAATCTTCACAGTACCACTACTAGTCGCTTTGGTTATGGCTGGTTGACACTGACTTTACTCAAACTGAGGTGAGTCAGGATCACGTGGGTCGTGCTGCTGACTAAACAGTAATGGATGCAAAACTTCGATGCCCCGGCAGGGCACCCATTCTGCCGATGCTGTGTGCAAGGGGACTGAGCTTTGTGGCTTAACGAGTTGGTAATGGCGCATGGGGTGATTTGCAGCCATTGGAACCTACTTTACTTACCATGGGAAGGTAAGTCGGCACTTTTAAGGAAGGCCAGGCTGTCGTAGCAAAACCAGATGACTCCCCCAGTGTCACTGGTAGCTCTACCCTCGTCATATGGCGCTTTGCTTGACTCTCTCGCGTGAAATCGTTTGGTGCACGCCCCACGCTACGAGTAAAATCGCGCATCCCGTCACCCTGTGTTTGTGATCACAATGGTGATGTTACATGTGGCATTTCAAGTGTGCTACCGCCTGCTGTGATTTGAGTGCCAGCCATGTGGGATTATTTGGCTTTGGATAATAGGTATCAACCCGACAACACACCGAACTGCGATAGACTTGGGCGGGGACTGTACACGCCATTCATAAAGCTGAGTGTCAGGTCCACAAGATGCTATTGGATGCTATTAGTCGGAGACATTGCGGGCGATAAGACCAGTTCACCGTGGCACCCAACATCGGCTTATCCCTGCACAGAAATTCAAGTCAGGTGTATTCTGAGTGGCAATGGCAAAGTTGATTGCTGACGAAAAGCCCATGAGATTGGGTCTCACGACACCTGACCACGTTATCATGTGAACCGTTGAAGCAGTATGTTTACTTTCAGGCTGGTCCGGAGGTTGTATGAGTTTGAACTGCTAGAGATCGAAAATGACATCACCACAGCTATAACTGGAGAACAGGCGCCAGGTGGATCTGGTCTACAGAGCTGTGATGCTACCGATATAGTAGAGACTTGATGCAAGCCTTACTATGTAGTGGTACCGTGTTTCCACTGCACGTGATTTGCCAGAGCCAAATCACTATTCTGTCTATAATTACACACTGTGGCGCTTACCCCTTGGACTGCATATACATGTTGACTGCAACTCATGTATAGTCTGGGGAAATCTACTGAGAATCTGAATCAAATATTTATCTACCTTTATACTTTTATTACTACATTTGTTACCTTTGAGCCTTTGCTTAATACTCCTGGGATTACTGTACCTATACTACAGAATGCCCCCCAAACAATCTGACCGCAGGTCGGAGAACCAATATGATAACCTTCCCAGTTCTACGGAGAATCCCGGTGAAACCGATTCTCAACAGTAGATAAATTGTTGGGCTAGTTAATGTGAGATTTGAAGTAGTTTTAGCAATATTAAAAAGTCAATGCAAAGCTTATCGATAAATGTTGAACAGTGAATCCTACTACAGTGTCTGTAGTTGAACTTGTTTCACAAGAGCCACACGCTCTTGAGGCGAAAACGCAAGCTGATTAT